AATCAATCTCTGTTCCCTTAGCAAATTCGACATTCCCAAGGTGGAGAATGGCAGCCACGACGCTGAAAATTGCATCCTGAAATGAGATATTAGTAAAGTAAAGAAGCCGTTTATAGAGACAACGTTACAGCTTTGTCTAAAAGCGACTGATGGAGTTCTGAGATGACTACCTGCTCCTCGGTACTTATCCCGACGACTTCCATAGCCCGTCTTGTGGCATGATATTCCTCTGCATCATTTATACTATCCAATTCTAGACATTTAGATTGATTGAGATAGTGGTATGTCTTTGGCTCGCCTAGCTTGAATCTCTGCACATCCTGATAATATAAAAGATTGTTTCAGAAAAAAAGTTGTGCATTAATTATGCCAAACAAGGTGCTGATACTCAACATGTACCAGCAAGTACTCCAGTGTTACATACTCCTAAGTGAATTGCAAAACTTACTTCTTTTGGAGCAGCACAAAGCATGTAGAAACAGTGATAGTTTCTTTCAGGATCAGAGACCTGACAAACACGTGATCTTTCCAGCAAATAAGTTCTTATGGCAGCTCCTGATATCCTCCCCTTTTCGTCAAACTGAATCTCCACGAACTTACCAAAACGACTATAAAGTTCACAAGCACCCAAAGTGGTGAGATTCAAAAGCTTTAAAAATATAGAAATGAAAGAATGCAATAGAGATATGAGGAAGCTTTGTTACCTGGAATTATTGTTCCTGACAGTCTTTGCATTTCCAAATGCTTCTAAAACAGGATTAGACTGAATAAAAGACACAATTACGAAGCTTATAAGAACCGGTCAAAGTCAAAAAAAAAGAAGGGAAGATCAACATCATTTCCATAAGGAACTGAGCATATAGCTACTGACTATTCAATTTGCTTAATGTGGGTGACTACTAGCATCACTTTTCTGAAGTTTCAGTTATTTATCCGCTCTTCGTTTGCTAATGAAAAAAAACTCAGCCGGAAATGAATATTCTACCATCCTCTGAAGTTTTAGTTATTTGCTCACTCTTCTAAAAATAGGATTTGACTAAACGAGAAACTATCTATAATTATTTCATTTTTTCACCTCCAACACTTTCTGTTCGACACTCCTTCCCTCAGCAGCAGCTCTCCCTCCCATGTAAGCAAGATATCTCATTAGCAACTTTGTGCTTTCAGTTTTACCAGCGCCACTTTCTCCACTAACCAGAATAGATTGACTTACACCGTCATTAATCATCTGTCTGCATTAAAACGAACGAGAAAGCAAGCAACTTTACATATAAGGATCACCAGCAACAAATACCAAAAGCAAATTATTTTACCAGCTTGTATGCATTACCTATATGCAGCATCTGCGACGGCGAATGGATGTGGACTCAGCTCCCCTAAGGCAGCTCCTTTATACTGAGCCATCATGTGGCTACTATAAAGATGGGGGAGTCTTCTAAACGGGTTAACAGCAATCAATATGCTTCCTGTATAAGTCTGGAAGTAAACGAAAGTTTAGTTCACACATATCTAGAGTAGTTATATATTCGAATTCAGTAGGAAATTACTCACATAAATCTCATTTATATCATATCTTGAATGCAAATTCTGTAGAACTCCGGGTTCATGCAAATAAGCAAGTCTTGTCATATCATCAACTCCAGAAGCTGGTGCTTCAACATCCTTCGGATATACACTAGAGGCTTTCGTAACAACCTGAATTTTTCCAAAAATAAAATTTTAAAAAACTGTTTTCACTAAGTTTTTCTTTTGCTTCTAATTTACATGACAAGCACACATACATGTTTCCCTGAAGTGCATAAGACTTTGATATCTTCACCATTAACCTCTACAACTTCACCATCAATCCATGCTTCATCAGGGTCCTCGACCCACACATAAGACCCAACCGAAGGATTGAAATTAGCAACCTGTAGAAACAAACAGTATCAAAAAGCTTGTTTCTCATTTATCAACTGTAAGCAAGAGACGCTAAACAGAACATCACATGCTTATATGTCTCACATTGGAGCTGTGGTTTACATAAACTGTAACCAAAAGGATATAGAATTTGAACTGGAAGCAACTTAAAACCAAGCTAGAGGAGCTAAAATCAAAGGCTACGGAAACAGTAAACCGAAAAAAGCATTGTCCTACTCAGCTAGAAAGAAGAACTAAAACTGCTTCTTGAGCTATCACAAGCTCCTTACTGGTAATCACAAAGCTACTTAAACAACTACATTTTGATTGCCTCTGATTTCAGGATATATCCCAATCACATGATGAAATTAGATCAAAATCGTAAATAGAAAGAACAAAAAAAAAAAAACTGGTTCATGAACAATAGCTTATGAAGATTCAAGCAGATTTATAAGACGATGATCCGACATTGAAACAGCTAAATTAACACCAAAAAAAAAAAAAAAGAGACAATTAGCTAAACCCAGAAACCCAAATTTGCCTCAAGTCAAACTAACAAAAAAAAAAATCCCAATTACTATATTCCCCCAAAATAAAACAGGATTTGATCAAAAAAATGAAGCAATCGAAACAGAAATAAATCTCACCATTTTCGTTTTCGCAGATCAGAGACTTCAGATACAGATTCTGGATCTACTCTGAATCAAACCAACAAAAAAAACGCGTATAAGCTTCAAGAAACTGAGATTTGCTGGAGAAAGAGCAAATCTAAACGCGTTTCTGGTCAAAAAAAAAAATTCCCCCTCGAATATTTTTTGAGTATTTTACTTTGTTTCTCTATTTTTTCTTTTCTTCTTACTTAAATTTTTTTTTTTGCTTTCCCTTTTCGTGCTTCCCTCCTCTCTTCCACTTTGTCTGGGATTTGGTCTGAATTATAATTACTTAACAGGATCAATAAATTTTCAATTATGTCAAATTGAGTTAATACGTTTAATTAAGATAACTTATTCCTAATCTACCCCTTGGTTTTCCATTTATATTACACAACTTTGTTTTCTCTCGGACACGCAAAGCTAATTTTGTCCGTTCGCGAAAATCTAAAAATAAAAATAAAGATATAATAATTCTCCCAAAAATACAAGACTAATTTATAGGACAACTAAAAAGATAATTTTATGGTGTAAATGTAAAATATTATGGTCTTTACATAAATAATATACACCGAATTTAACAAAGAGACAGGTATGATTAATCATATACTTAAAGATTAATTAATAGAATACTATATTATCATTTTTTGGAAGAGAAAATTATGAAACTACTATATAAAAAAATAGAATTAAATAAGTAGCAGTGATAATTAAATATAAAACAAATTTTTTTATATAAATGTAATTAAGATAGAAATAAAAATAAAAATCTTTAGAATAAGCTTGTTCCTCTTATCTTTGGAAAAATGTTCATATAACTGTGTCTTTATCTATAAAAAAGTGGGTTTGTTACTTTACAATTTTTTTTAGAGTAACAAATCTACTTTATTTTAGAGATAAATACATAATTATATAGGCAAAATAATAGTAGTTATTCGTTTTTGTGTTTTTTTATTTCATCGGATCTCGTTCGTTGTGTTTTTTTTGTCATTTTGAATCAATAAACGGTTTAGTTTCTCCCAGATAAAATAGCAGTAGTAGTTATTTAATTTAATTGCTCAAAGTAGCTCATGAAGATTCAAACAAGGTTTAGACCAAGCGTTC